AGATTTGGGGTTTAGTCAAAATTCTTTAGTGATTGCCTTTAAAATTAGTATTTAGACACTTTTATTCTTTTTTTTTTAATGAAAACATGGCATAATTCTCTAAAATCTTCTAGAAATTTTAATAAATCAAACTTTTTGTCACGCCCCAGAATCCAAATCTGAGGACGTAGCAGATGTCGTGCACTTGTGAGAGGATCCCACAAATGCACAAGGCTCGGAACTTATCCAATTCACATCTGACAATCCAATAATTTAAATCAAATATCTCAATTTATTTCTATATCCAAAATGACTTAAATCCAAGTAATTGATCTAATGACCGAAATCTGTTTTGATCTCATAAATTCAAGGTAAAACCTATCTTACAAAAGCATGATTTATTTCTAAAATCTATATCAATGTCGAAATGGTTAGCCTTCTAACTTGTCACTTCCCGTGGTTTCCCCGTCCTTGATTTCGCTTCCTGAAATGGTGGACAAGGAAAACTATGAGATAAACTCAGTAAGTAAAATATGAAGTGCCTTTACTTAAACTTATAGCATGCCAACACGTATAATGACGAAAAACAGATACGGGTACGGAAACGAAATAGACGTCTCCTCCATAGGTCATGGCCAGTGTTATAAACCTCCCATTGGGAGGCACACGATTTACTAGTGTATGATCCCACTAGCAGGATAACAGAAACGAATCGGTTCTATCAGTAACATGTCGACATGTGCTAGCGTTTATAAACCTCCCACTAGCGGGCACACGAATAACATGACCATATCAGAGACAAAACAGGCAAAAGTTAACAAAAAAATCATAATTCACCAATCACTTTCAAATCATCAGAACAATCAATTAAATTTCAAGTAGGCATGCTCAATTTAATGAAAAGCATAAAAATTTCACTTCAAATGAGTTATGCTCGTGTAAAATGAGTTTAGCCCCGCCACCATTTCAAAATAAGTCAAAACATGCTTTTAAAAACTGTATGGACATTACCATAAATTTACTTATCTCACTCGCATAAAATCGAAAACTCGACCTCAATGCTAAACTGATAGAACGATCAATAACCTAATCAAAATATTCAAGAATTAATTACCATACCACGGATTCAAAGTTAAAATCACCATGACTACCCCCTAATCACGATGTTATTCTTATCAATCTCCACATGATCAGACATTTCCAAATTTATTCTTATATTACAAACTAAACAATTAGATCCCCGTTAATTGTTGGCCATTACCCATGAACAGTACCGTGAACAAAGCTAACGACGTGAACCGTGCTCACGCCGTGAACAGTACTGCAACTTCCAAAAATTGGCCAAAACACTAGCTAATTTCACGGGATTTTCTCTCCAAAAATCACAGCAATCAATTAACTAATTTTCTACATGAATTAAGCAACAAAACACACTTAAAATGCTCTTAATTGCTACCGAAATTCCTCCCATTTTTCTAGCAAAATTCGGACACACAAGGCAGCAAATAAATGGACAAATTCAGGGCTTGGAGGGGCTGTCAACATACCAGAATTTGCAAGCAAGGAAACCGAAGCTGCAGTTTGGGGAAGAGGCCGGTGGGATCTGCAGGGAAACTCACGAAAATCTACCCAAAATTTGAAGGAAATAAAAGCCATTAAAGTAAACACAGCCTAAATTAAGGTTAAAGAGATGATTTCTTGGCTGAATCTTACCAAAAACCAGAGCAATTCGCCCCCACAAAGCAGGAGCAGCCGGACGGTGAGGACAGAGCAGAGCAGATCTGGAATTCTGCAGATGGGGGGAAAGGATTTCTGGGTTCTATGCTTGTTATTTAACAAGAGAAGAAGGAGAAATTTCAAGCTTTCTACCGGTTTCCTTGAGAAAATTGTTGCCGGCAGCTTGGGGGGCTTTTGGGAGCTGCAGGGGACGGGAATAGCAGAAGCACACGGGATGAGGAAGAAAGAAAGAAGGAAAAAAAAAAGAAAAAGAAAAAGAAAAGAAGCTAATCCTTATCCAAAATTTCCCTCTTTAAGTCCCTCAAGTTTGGACATTTTGGTTATTAAACCCAAAATAATATTTTTCCACAATTTAATCCTTAACTTAATGCTAAAATATCACAAAATTTTGGGGTATTACACTTCTTCTTCTTCTTCTTCTTCTTATTAAGATTGCTTGCTTGCTAGATAAATTTTATTTCTAAATAAAAATAAATAAATAATAATTTTCCCCATATATATAAAAAAATCCACCAATCAAAGCCCCATATTTCAACATGTTATGTGATTAAACCATGATTAGTTTAGTATTTAACAAATACTTTATATGATATACTTTTGTAAACAATAAACTACTTCTTGACTAATTCCTAAAATTTTTACAACGAATAACTACTTAACAAATTCTAAAAAACTCCTAATTACCATATAGTTAAATAATAAAAGTTTAACTTTTTCTTTTCATTATCATATCACTATTCACTACCCCTAAAAAAGTTAAAAAACAAAAAACAAGAACATTTGTAACATGCTAACAATTGATTTTTTCACTCTCCATACATTCTTTTCGCATTATAAACTATAAACATTATAATTTTAAAGAGAATGCATTTACAATCAAACTCAAAATTCTACAATTTAAAAAACGTAACTGTTAAATCTATCACTTGAACCACGTCAGTAATGCTTTCTCGTTGTAGCCTTCCTCAATAATTAATTTACCGACATAACAAAAAGTCACGTTGGTGGATTCTCTCCCCGTCACTAACAAGGAATAAGTTTGCAAAGTGTGACTGGAAAAGTGCAACCGGCAAGATGTCAAGTCAATAATTTATCGACATGGCTTACGTTGGCAACATACGTGAATGAATATTTCCCATTATTAATTTTACCGACAATATTTTAATCAGCATGAAAGTCACAAACAGTATTGCTGATGGGACGTTACCAACCTGCATCAAGCTGCCAAATGAGTTATCCTCAAAAATAAATTACGATAAAATGGTTTGCAGCCGGTTCTGCTAATTTTTAGGCGGAATGGCTTATTTAAACGACACCGCTTCAAGTTAAACCCTTGCCCCACATTTGTTTTTCTCGTCTTCAACTTTTCCCTCTTTCCAAAAATTCACAAACCCTTAATATGAGCAGGAGGTATTTCCTTGACATAAGCAAAAGGTATACAATTAACTGGAAACAAAAATCCCAGAAAGAGTCTTCGTTTCTTTCTTTCTCTTATTAAAAACCCAGAAGCAAATACTAATCTTTTCAAATACCCAATTCGAAATTCAAATAAACTCAAATACCCAGATGAGGAAAGGCAAAAACCGAAAGGCCCAAAGAAATACCTCTGCTCATAGGATTATTTTTTATCATCAAAAGATCCAACAAAAAGTGCAAGCCCAGAAAGCTTACTTTTGACGAGGTGAACCTATTCCACAACATTTTGTTTTTTGGTTGTTCTTCCTCTATGATTCCAAGCGGAGATTTGGATGGGAAACTGAAAAAGAGTGGAATTGAGTGAAGGAAATCAAAGATAAAATAGGGGTTCTTAATGAAGAGAAAAAGAGGAAAATTGAAGAAAAAAAAATGAGGTGGTTATTGATGAAGCAGCATAAGCAACAGCAATAGCAGCAGACTGATGAGTGGAAGAAAGCATGGAGGCTCACGGACAAAACCAGAGCAATCTCCACTTAATGAGTTTCCATCATTGGGTTGGGCAGTGATGTGGTTATTGAAGATGAAGAATTTAGAGATGGAATTCATATTTTGGGGTTTTTTGAGTTTTTGGAAACAAGATTGGGTTGAATGGCGAGAAAGGTAACCTTGGGGATGAGAATAAGTGCTATAACTAGAAACGCTGCCATTTAAATCAGTCATTCCGCCTAAAAATTTGCAGGACCGGCTGCAAACCA